TCGCCACGAGGAGGCGTCCCGTACACGAGCCAATGGCGCAACAGTAGCAGCAGTGGGTAGATACTCTGACAGGATCTAGCCACCACCAGCCTAAACGCACCATAGACTCTCCCGTGGGTAGACTATCTGTTAGAACCTGGCCACCACCAACTTCAGAGCACCATATGCTCTGCTGCCTGTGCATATATAATATATATATATATATATATATGGTTACAGGCAGCAGAGCATATGGTGCGCTGAAGTTGGTGGTGGCCGGGTTCTAACAGATAGTCTACCCACTGCTGCTACTGTTGTGCCATAGGCTCATGTTCGGGACGCCTCCTCGTGGAGACTGCCCGTTGGGAGTAGGGTTACGCCCTTTTCCATGATAAGATCCAAGACACCAGTCCACATGAACCCGTGAACTGACCATGTGCTAGATAGGCAGCCTTTCGGTTGTACATTAAATCGAAGGCTTTGGCTGAGGACCCGAGTCGTTCCCTGGCAGGTGTGGGCTCCATGCCAGTATCCTTGTCCATCCTGTTCTGTTAGGAAGTGGTCGACGGCCCCCTTCCAGTAAAACCTAGCCATGGAAAAAACAGGTCTACGGGTTATAAGCTAAACGCTCGAGTGGCGTAGAGCACGAGCGCCACGCATTTTCTCTGACGACGGGAGGGCATCTTCGGGTGGTCAATGGTTTGTTACTGCCCGCCTCAAGCCAGGCAGCTCCTGGTCAAATTGGTGCAAACCCGCCAAAACCCACCTGCGTCTGGCCGTGGTCGCATGTGCGTATCCTACTACGGTTGGGAAACATATATGTTTGGTTCCACTACCTCAATAGCTGTCAGTGACTGTCGTCAAGCGGATCCAAAGCTGCAATCACATTCCCGAGCTGGATCTATTCCCCACTGCCTTGTAAGTCGGGTTATTGAGCCAAAAGCTCCGGGATGAGTCCTTCAAGCAAACCTCCAAAATACAACCGCCACCTCGCGTGCGGTTGCCCACCAATGCAACTGCATGCCTGCGCGCAAAACATCCAACATCGGGCGCTGGAACATGCACACACTACTGGACCGGAACTGCAGTGAGCGCCCCGAACGACGCACTGCGTTGGTCGCGACGGAGCTGGCGCCTTACCACATCGATATTGCGGCGCCTGGTGAGATTCGGCTCGCTGAGCAAGGTAAGTTGCATGAAGCAGGTGCTGGCTACACTTTCTACTGTGCCGACAACGCCACCTCAGCACCACCTGAACATGGGGTCGGATTTGCAATCTCCAATCTCCTAAATGGCTAACTGGTGGGTGAGCCAACAGGCATCAGAGCGCGACTGATGACTGTTCGCATACGACTTGGAAGAGGTAAGTTTACCACTTTTATAAGCACGTGCGGTCCGACCATGTGTTATCCTGATGACACGCGTGATCTATTCTACACTCAGCTATCCTCCGTGATACGGTCTGTGCCGAGGAGCGACCGACTATTTCAGCTGGGTGATTTCAACGCGCGCGTTGGGCGTGATGCGTCGGTGTGGACATATGTTATCTGTTCGCATGGCATCGGTTCAGCGAATGCGAACGATGACAGGCTGCGCTGTGTGCTACTCACGGCCTGACGATCACGAACACTCGGTTTGCACTGAGTGCGAGTGATATAGCAACTTGGACGCATCCACGAAGTGGTCACGCTCGCCTGCTCGACTATGTCATCGTACCTCAGCGTGATATGCGTGAAGTGCGCATGACACGTGTACTGCGTGGAGCTGAGTGTGGCACGGATCACAAATTGGTGTGGACCAAACCGTACGTATATTTTCGTAAATCTATGTATTGCACTTCGCCTTGAATCAGCGTAAATTTAATGTTCTAACCCTCGGTACTCTGGGGAAACATGTTGTGGTGAAGAAGGCGATGGCTGCACGATTGTGTGATGTGGAATTCAATGCTACGTGTGGAACTCCTGGCGAGAATACGCCTAGTGCGGGAGGATCGTCTAGGTCTTCTGCCACGGTATCGAATAACGCACGAAATAGCAAGCTCCAGCTTCGGTCTCTCGGAAATGGACTCAATTGGGTCAGTATTATGATCGGCGTCGGCGGTCAACGGAACTGTGTGACATGCTGCGTTTTTATGAAAGCATTCATGAATTTTGTCTACTGTGTCGCCAAATCATCTCTGAACACAGTGAGAAAAGCTGTGTTCGTCGGAAAACATTTGGTCCAGAGCTGTCGCAGAATTGTGTCATCCATCTTAGAGGAACCGACTAACGTATGCATGTGCCTGAGGAGTTGTGATGACGAGCGTTCGCCTAGTTCAAAACCGAAAATTAACTGTCAATCTAGCTTCGTCGGAAGCCGTGGCGCGCTTCAAAACGGCGGCTTTCCGCTTATCGTAAGGTGCGTCAGCCGGAATCGGGTCGAGCTAATCCATAAGACCAGTTGCGATGTGGGTAGGAGGCTGGCCAGTGACATGTGCCAAGGTTAATGACTGCGAATTAATACGACGTATGCGAAAAAGAGTTTCCAATGGAAAAACCAGACGTGAGGATTAGATGAATCAAAGTCAAGTAAGGAGAAACCAACAAAATTTTCTGAATTGGCAGTGCGGGAAACGTGGTCCGACATAGTAAAGGTACAAAAACAGGGTTCTGGGCTTTAAAAAAACGGGGTCACTAAATATGTAGTGGAAACGCCAAACTAAAAGGAGTTAACTACATAAACAAAACTCTGTCTATCAATAAGTATGCCGGACCTGACCTAAGTTAAAGCACGATCCTCGGTAGTCCGTCAGTTAGGCGCAAAATCCAGTCTGGAGACGAAACTTAGTCAGCACAATAATTCGACGCGTTAGATCCGATGATCGATGAATGAGGCTAACAGACCAACGACAATCAACAGCAAAACACGAAACCAGAAGGCGAATCGAAACCCGAAAAAGTCTTTTTATCGGTTGTTGGTCAGTTAGAACAAAACTACAATAATATTGGAAATGAGAATAAGAAGGAACAATTGGAAAGACAGATATGCACAATCGCCATAGACCGGCTAAATGGTCACTGACCACTCAAACCCGTAACTGGGGATGAGTATCTAACGGAGGGCGGATGAACAACCTCGCTGGCCACCAGCTTCTCTGTTGACTGCTTCCGAACACAAAGAAGACGAATGAGCCATTTGGCCATCAACGGTCTTCGTGAATCACCCCGCTTCCGTGCGGGTCAGATCTGTAGACCAAAGGCGCGGGGGTGGGGTCCCTTAAGTCAACCATCCTACTCGGCCTGGGCAACCGGGAATCTCAATGCTCACACAATACATGGAACTTTGCTTCTATTCCTCTAACTCACTCTCCTTTTGTTATTGTTATGTGTTGCGGCACTCTGCCAAATGTTTATTGGGCAAGCGTTATATATATATATATATATATATATATATATATATATATATATATATATATATATAGGTTTGATGACGACTGTGCGTTGTTTGCAAACAGCGCGTATGAGTTGCAGCACGTGACTAATGCTCTGGCTTCGACAGCGGACAAATTCGGACTCACCATCAACAGAGGCAATACTGTCTGTCTCTTTCAGCCTTCACCGGAGGTGCAGTCTTCAATATTGATGCGAATCAACTTTGGTGTGACGTACTGGAAACCACCTCCCGCTTCTGCTACCTTGGGAGTGTGGTGTCGACTGACCATCAACTTCACAGTGAACTTCGTATCCGCGTATCGACAGCGGTTTCGGCATTCGGGAAGCTTGAGTACCGAGTGCTGAGCAACCATCAGCTTACCATTGGCGCGAGACTAATGAGGTACAAATCCATGGTGCTGTCTGTTCTTCCATACGGCAGTAAAACGTGGACAATGTACCTGCGGAATGTGCGATATCTCAAGCGGTTTCATCAAGTGTCTGCGACGGATTCGGCGCATTGGTTGGTGCGACTTAGTTGCGGACACGGAAGTGTTGCGCCGAAGTGGAATGTATGCAGCGGATTGAATACTTTTGCTGAGACACCTGAGGTGATTTGGTCATATGAGACGTGGCGATTCGACGCTGATACCGAAACAACTGTTGTAGGGTCAGCTGAGTGTTGAAAACCGGCGTGTGGGAAAACCGAAGCTTCGTTACCAGAACATGATCAAAATGAGCCTCTCACGTTCTAATCTTGATTGCAGGTCACGGGAATCTAAATCGGTTAATCAGCGTGCATGGCGCGATCAGATCATGAAGGCCGTTGCCCAGGTGCAAGAGAAAGCCCTCGTGCATGCAGAGAATGAGGCGGCAATTGCAGAAGCGACAGGCGCTGATGGGTTGTACTCCATCAACATCGAGCGCATGGTGCTGTAGCACATGCGGTCGCGAGTGCCTGAGTCAGGTAGACCTAGTGAGCCATGAGAGAGGCCACTCGGGGCCAACATAGAAACGACGACGGGTCCTGCAGAGAACGTAAGCGGAACGTTTGCAGCGTTTGTAGGCATTTAGGCGGAACCCAGTGCTCCGTTGTCTTTCGAACCGCCGCTGCTTTTGATGAGGTTTCTGCCGCCTACAAATGGGGATATAGTATCATCTGAAAACGGATTTTGTCATTTTTCGATCATTCACACGTCGAACATGCCAGTGCTGCTTGGTGAAACATTAAATGGTGAAATCCTGCGCTGGAACTTGGCGGATGAACCAAAGACTGAAACCCACAGTCCAGGCTCTACCGAAACTGAAGTTCTATCAGGTGATCGACTGGCAAACCTGCAGTATGTGGACGACATACAGTAAAACCTCCTCGACAAATATCCCAACATCATAACTGGCCTGGTTGATATTTGGCGACGCAATCCTCCTCACCCTTTTCTCCGTAACCCCTCCTGTGAAACCACCAACGATGTGCGTGCCCCTGAGCCCAGTGTCACCGTGTGTATTCAATTGTTCCGCACCAGCGCACTTAAACCACGCGACACTCGCCCACATCGTGTCGCGTTTGGTCTCTCGGATGGAAGCATTATTGTCATGCGGTTAACGGACTTCATGCAAGCTGCTTACTGGACGTCAGACTTTCGGGCGAATTCCAACACACCAAACGCCAACCATTTACTGCATCTGGCTCGCTTCAAACTGACAGGCCATGTAGGCCCGGTAACTAGCTTGCTTCATCCTGCCAGCGCCGATACACAGTTTATCCATACACTGAACCACGATTCGACAATCACCAAATGCCCATTCGATTGGGATCACTTGGTCTCCGGTGGCGCGGATTTTACCGTTAGACTGTGGGATTTGGATCCTTGGCGTGAGACCGGGCTAGATCGTGTTCAGGACAGACGCAATCGTCTTCTTTCTGATCGACTGGCCTCTTGTATCACACCTCCAACCTGTTTGTCTGTGTTTCACTGTCATTCATCCCCCTGCATATCCTTGTTCATTGGTCCCCCAACCTGTGCCGTTCTGAGTTCGTGTGCGGGAAACTCTCGCCTAAATTCTTGTGTGGGTTCGGTTGGTTCGGACGGTTCCGTCTCAATCATCAGTTTACATGAACAACGCGTGTTGTTGTCAACCAGTCCTCCGTGCAAGCTCTCTCCTTCACCGGTGATCGCTCTGGGCTGGCGAGTTCCTGAAGATCTTCTACTGGTTGTGCACGCGGACTGGGGTCTGGAGATTTGGGATATTGCATCCGGAATCCTTGACAGCTATGAAACGGATCAGACTGCTAAAGAGTTTTTTGAACAAGCACACTTCGTCGTCGAATTACGCACGCCCCCACCATCGTTCATACGATGCGTTCCCCCGATGTCAGATCACGCGGCGCCTGTCGCAACGGACGGAATTGCGACTTGCACTTTTTTTGGCAGCGCTAACTATTCCGCCTCAGCCGCCTGCCACTTGGGTTCTAACATTTGGTGTGTAATGCATTTTATCCCATATTAATGTCTTTCTGAACTATTTTCCATAAACTTGCACACGTCGCTTAAGCTAATTGTAGTTAACTCCGATAACATTCTCGCGGTTGTGGCATTTCCTAAAAGATATTTTCTGATGTATTGAATCTATGGCGGATATTTTGGCAATCAGTTGATTTCATATGCTAATTTATTGATTAGTTATGTTACCGTCTGAATCTGTATGCATTGTAGCTTTTAGTTTATTAGATATCATCGTTTCAAGTGATTGGTTGTTGTTTGAAATCCCTGGGGTGCATGTTGACAAGGTGCCTACCTGTCTATTACCCACCACCTCGTCCATACTGGCTCCAGGAGACAGTTGGTCGTTGCTGGAGGGGACGGGGTGAACGGTCCTCGGGGCCGTGCTAGAGCCGAAGAGTGGTTCCATGCACTCAGTGTGGAGCGGACTACGGTCCAGCCACCGCCTCGTCGGTAAACTGTAATTCAGATGCTAGTAAAGCACTGCTGTAGTTATTTCTACTAAGGAGGGCACTGACTTTTACCAATCTATAGGTCTTTGCGTACAGCTGTGGTTAGACCACATTTAGAATACTGTGTTCAGTCCTGCACAGCGCACCTACTGAGGCATATCAATTGTTCTGAAATTATGCAGAGACTGACCACTCGAATGGTAGTAGACCAGCGTGGGTTATCGTATGAAGATATGTTAGCTATCTCAGAATTGTTCCCGATGAGGAGACGCAGATTATGAGGGTGCTTAATAGAGACATACAAAATCACGAAGAGTTCCATTGATCTCAAGGCAGCTGATCTCCTTGTACCAGTTACATCAGACAACCAGCTAGACGACTGCTGAAATTAAAACAGCAAAGATCCAGTGGGATCGATGTAACAGCTAATTTCTTCACAAAGCTTATTGTGCTTAGCTGGAATAAAATTCCCTCTGCTCTAATGGAGTGAGCAATGGTAGATGAATTCAAGCCATATATCTAGCGAAAAAGTGGCTGACACTGTTCATAGAATTTTTTGAGACTTCATAACGGCAACTCCATGAAAGTGTGGTGGTGGTGGTGGTGGTGGTTGTTCGCTTTTGTCCCCTTATCCGTCTTTCTCCGCTATAGCCGCAAATCCAACCATCAACTCCAGGTGTTGGGGTCCCGGTTTTAGTTACTAACACACGAGACGAGATGTTCCTAAGACGATAGTTTGGTTCGTCCATGGAGTATGTCCTGTTAATCTCTCTGATCGAATTAGTTGGAACACGGTTTTCTCCTACATTGAAGATTTCGAACTATTAACACAGAAAAGACTCGCGAAATTTTCAAAATCATGATCAGCACATTAACATTTTTGATCTCAACCGAAAGCCAAATCTGAGACCCATACGAGCGGTAATTAATCACAGCTGTCGACCGTTAAGTGTAGAAGCTATCGGGCGTTTGTATACTTGGATGCACAGTCGTATTGCCTGTGCCTCAAAGCAAATGCTATGCGAGCAACTCAGTGGCCTGTACTTGTCTTGCAAAGCTCTGTGGTTCATCACCACGGGATACGGAAGTGCTGAACTCGGACACTGCCACTTCAGCGTGCAGTAGCCAAACAAGCATAGAGGTCGTGTTATGTTTAAGCGCTTAACCCCTGACCTACAAGGCGTCGATCGACAGCTAAACAATGCAATTGGTTGTACCGACTAATCTAAAGAAGTCGAGCCTAACGCGACAAAAATAATAGCAGAACGTGGCTTTCTTACATGTCACATAAATCAAGTGTTCCAATAGCCTTGCAAATGTCGTTCCATGTATTTAAAGCTCACAGCAAAACAGCTGAAGCTATACAATGGCAGGTTAGATTACTCATGGTTCTATGCAGTATATATGGTCATCACACCTTAAGATTGCACGAACCAATTGTGGCAACTATTGGAAAATGGAGCAACATGAAATTCGCTTTGTTAAGAGAAAGCGCGAGAGATAGTAAGCGCAAATCCTTCCCAATAGGCTTCGCTACAAAACGGACTAAGCAGGCTGGTCGACGAGTTAAAAATGTGTCACCTGTAGCTTTGAACGGCAAGCGGCACGTCAACATAATTAGTGGCTTAAGTATGCCCGAAGTAGCTACCTCCAGTCTTGTTAAATTAAGTAAAACGAGGGTGTCGTCCACCCACCAAACTGCACCGTAATGGCGCAATAACGAGCCGTGGGTGGAACATGGTTGCTGCTAAAAACACCCAAACACGTAGAAGCTTCAGACAGTACAAATGATTCACAAATAAGTGAGAAAAGCAAACTTTACTTACTCAGCCTCCACCGATTTTATGTGGACAACCAGGGAATTAAACCTCGACCTAATGTTCATTAAGAGGCTACATAATGCGCCAGCAGTAATCCGAGACAAAGTTTCAGAATTGACGTCAAATTCCGTAAAAGGAAAGCAGTACAACGACGTGAGCCAGTGGGAATTCCTATGTAATACCTTATATGTTGCAGGTAAACGCGCAAATGTGTTGCGCGTTAATAGTTAACCAAACCCATAGCACTATAGTGAACTGACAACTCTCCGAGTTGTATTGTGTTGCGCAAATAATTCAGAAGCAGTTCTGAGATCTGAAGCTCGTCCCCGGAATCGGTTTTGTCCGTCCGCATCTTCCCGGATGTTCAGTGGGAAGAGCCTAAACAGACGAAGAATGTATTGGAGGAACATCGTAAGGAATCCATACCCAGGATCATTCTTGTTCACGGTTTTCTAGGGACTGGAGGTAGTGATGAGCACGTAAAGACCACTCCCAACTAGGAGCAGTGGCGTTACGTCTGCCAGACATCGTCATTAAAAACGTCGCAGCGCATTTCATCTAAGGTTACGCAGATCGCCAAATTACAGTAAATGTTACCCGAGGATTGTGAAAGTAGTCCTCCAATCCAGATACATATCAACAACAGTGTTGGAGTGCAGGTACGCAGATAGCTGCCTTCTAAACTTGGGACCAAAGCTGCTTTCCCTAAGCAGACCCCCGACAGGAGCAATTTAATCGAACCGCTTCCCGATAGCAATTCAAATGACATCACTCATCAAACTAACGGAACTGGTGCACATACCCCATAAGATAGTTACAAAGAAATGAGCAATAATGAAATGGCCGGATCTTTAAGTAGTATGCAAATAGGTTTGTCACCGCCCCACCCAAAAAGCAATTAGTGGCCGACCTTTGACCAGTCAGCGCAATATCTCAAAAAGGACGCTCGTCGCCCCACTGACTATCGAAATCAGAGAAACTTTCCTGCGTTTAAAAAATACACATAGTCTCCTGAATAAACCTCTTGAACTGCTGTTGGATCGCCGAACAACCTCCTCATGGTGCCAGCTGGGTGGTTCGGGTAAATCTCGTTCCAGCGAATGGTTCGGCGGCAGTACTTCAAAAGGTGATGGTTTTCCGTTTGGAAAGCAGTCTCCCTACAAAATGCCACAGATGTCCGTTTAACAACAATGCAACGTGGCGGCTGTGACTCGTTACTAAATAAACATACCATCTCTTGCCCATCAAGATGATCCTACCCTCTCCACGAAGGTCACTCATCCACATCGAAGGTTTCGTGTGATCCTTTCTTGCACTCGCGACCAGATAAAACATAATCACAGATGCAACGTGGCACTAAGAATTTCGTCAACAATGCCACATAGGCATAAAGCCAGTCTGCAACTAGTTGAGTTGTGACATTTGTAAATCAAAGATGATGTTTTGAATTACAATGATCATGCGTATGCAGGCGTGTCTCGCACTGTCGAGAATAAACAATTTATTTATTTATGATGTGTTATATGCTTGGGACCTCGTCATTGTAACTGAAAGTTAGTCACACTCAGAAATTATTGACGCCGGAGGAACGATGCGTGGGATGTCCCTTGTTCTAAATGATCAGCCCAGCAAGGGATGAGGAATACTTATATACTACTGGAGTGACTTGCAATGCGAGTCAGTAGAGGATCCGGAAACACGATGAGATTCACTCTGATGTCGTCTGCGACTTAGGCGAAGGACACTTACCTTGTGGCAGTCGATTAGCGTCCCGTAATGTTCACCCCAAAGGTGAACTCCTGTTTGACAATAGCACCGGTAAGGAACTGCGCCGGCAATGCAACCACGTTTTCATCTAAGGTGAATTAACTGTTTACGATCTGGAAGTTCCGACATTTTGAGGCGAGCAGTTCATTGCCGATTTTCAAAAGCGTATTGCAAGCATTCAGGTTTTCAGCCATGTTACTTGATCCACCAGATGTAGAGTGAAATAAACTATCCGTGTTTATTGAGGGTAAATGAAATAGTGTCCCATAAAGATAGGCGAAAGATAGAGAGTTCTCTACGGCTTAGTGATCAAGTCACCATAATTTACGGCTGTGTGTCATGCAGATTATTGTTGAGTGGAATTCAGGTACTGGTTGTGACGAGAACTAGTAGGAATCAATATGGATACAGATAATCCAGAAGTGAGAACGTTGCCGGACACAAGGTGTTGTACAGTGCTGTAATGAACCGGAAGCAACTTAGCAAGGGCACAGAGCAAGGTGGCGAACGATTAACAGAGATTGAAAATGAGCCGGATGTACTATCAATAAAACAAATGGACGATCGGAAGATATAAACAAGAATAAAATTCAGTATCAAAATACAGAAAACGTAAATGGTTTATGTGCACTACAAGAATAACCCTCCAAAAGGTTGAATGGGGAAATCCTTGGATAGAGATTCAGGTTGGGAGCCAACTGGTGATGGGAGAGTAAGGTAGTAATTGTAACGGTCGGAAACGGACAGAGAGAGTGCGCGCGTTGAGTTCGCTGGGTCCAGACTTCTTTATTATTTGGGTGTAGACTCGAGTACATCGTCAGTAGGCCGTCGGGGCGGGAATGTCAGATCGCAAAAAGTTGGCTGGTCCAGGAATACACCGACGAGGCAATTCCTCCGCTGCAGGCCCGACGGTGCGCTTGGAAGGTGTTAATCCCCACCGCACCCCAGTCCCCGGTCATGAAGATCAT